CGGAGGCCAGGCGCCCCCACGCGGTACCCACGGCACCCACGCGCTTACCAGGGCCTGCCATTCTTGCCGACCCTGGTCAGCGGAGTAGGCCTGAACAGTCGCCTGCGGTCAGCCATCGTCGCGCTCTGCTTCGCGGTGACCGCTGAGCCCTTGGCGTTAGCGTCGTCTGGTTCTGGGGTCGCTAGGAGACCGCACAATAGCTACGCGGGGTTCGGATTCCAGAGGCGGGAGCTGCAGGGCGCCCCTCCCCCTCCCCTCGAAGCCGCTTCTCCCGAATCAGGGGCCTGCACGCTCCACCCAGGCCCCTCCCCTCCCCTCCCCAGCACCCTGGGGGTGTCCGAGGCCGGAGTGTGGGGGGCCGCGTCGAGGGAAGGGAGAGGACCAGGTCCTTGATTTCATTATGTTTTAACCTGTTGGGAAGGCGTTTTCATCTTCCCACTGAAATTTACTGTAAGCTGGGCCAGGTCTATTTTGCTCACTACCTTTTCAAAAAATGTTTCTTGAAGGAAAGAAAAGAAGAAGGCAGCTGGAGAGAGAGCAAGAGAGACCGGACAGAGAGGGAAAGAAATAGACCCATGTCTCATGGTGAGAAGGCCTTTTAGCCTGAAATGCTTTCCAGAGGCCGTGGAACTGCCCGGGCGCGCAGCCTCTGCCATGGTGGGCTGCGCACGGCTTCGTCACCAGCCGATTTCCCGACTCCACTCCAGCCCATGTGTTACCTGATTCTTTGGCCTTGACCCACTTCCAGCTGTGAGTTACCCTATCAGTTGGCCCTGGTAGGCAGATGGCCATGTACATATGGGTTGCATGAGTATCCTTTGGTTTTGCTCATTTCTCTTACTACTTCTGGGGTGTTTCTGATTTAAACATCAAGCATTGCTTCCAGAGAAAATAGCAGCAAAGCATTCTCCTGTCTCAAAATTATTGCAGCCATTAAAATTTAATGGTGAAATCGTGTCTGTTATGGGAGAATAATTTTTGTAGTCATTTAAAGATGTTTTCTGATTTTCAGACTATTTGGCAATAAATTAGTTCCACCTTTGGGAAGCCATCGACTATCTGGATCAGTGGTTCCCAACCTTGGCTGCACATTAGAATCACCTGGGAATCTTTTTAAAATCCTGATTTCTGGGCCTCATCCTCCGGAAATTCTGTTTCTTTGTTACTGATGTTATGGCCCCACCCCATAACAAAGAAACAGAATTTCCAGAGGATGAGGCCCAGAAATCAGGATTTTAAAAAGATTCCCAGGTGATTCTAATGTGCAGCCAAGGTTGGGAACCACTGATCTGGATAGTATTAAAGGTGTCCTGAGTGGTATTAGTTCCAGTAGCTTCACCTGTGTGTGTTTAGCTGCCTTCTCTGCACACAATGGAGAGGCCTGGAGTCCCACTGCCTCAGGTGAATCCTCGCTCTGCCACTTAATAATGATACACTCTTGGGCACGGTTACTTAAACGTTTATAAGCTTCATTGATTTCTTACTATGAAAGTGGGAGAAATAATAGTTATTGGGGGATTCAATGAGATAATAAATGTAAAGCACTTAAAACAGTGCTGGCAATACAGAATCCCTCAATAACTGCTGAGGACTATTATAATCTCAGCTGCGAACTGGGGCTAGGTGTATTTGCCCTGCCTACTTTATAGAGTTGTAGGAGTCAGTTCATGGAAAAAGTTACAAATGTAATCATTATAAGGAGCCGTTGACTTGTTTTTATTGTTTGATAATATCTTTGATATAGTTTGATTGATTGCAAATTCAAGCTTCATTACTTTGAGGAAGTAGGATTTCTCCAAAAGACTGAGGGTAAGAATCATGTCCATCTTGCTCCTAGTACTGTGCCTGGCACACAGTAGGTACTCATTCAACAACTCTTGTCTGTTATGACCATGCTAGGCACTGGGGATGCTAGGCAATGGAGAATTAACAGACTTGGTTCTTGTCACCTTGGTACTCAGTTTCTAGTGTTTGTTGCATGAATTAAGAAGAGCACACCTATTTTCATGACTTTTGCTTCTCACAGGATATTTGCTCTGTGTAGTAATTTTGTCTCCATATCTGGTAGGAGACAGCTAACATTTTTATTTCGCCACATTCCATACCTTAATTATAGTCATTACCCAGGAAATCTTTCATATCCTCTCTCTCTCTCTCTCTCTCTCTCTCTCTCTCTCTCAACACAAAGGTAAAATGTGTTGCATATAATCTAATGAGTAGATGTTATTTAACAGTGAGGATGTTGATGTTCCAGGTATTTTTCTAGCATTATTGCCAGGTAGTGTGACCATTTCATTTCCAAATAAGATTACTTAAATACCTATAACAGGATTGCCCAGAACTATTACTGCATCTTTCTCATGCAAGGATTAATTAGTCTCTGTAGCATTATAAAACATACTCAGCAATACTTAGTTATCAGGACTTTCCAGAAAAAGAAGCATTTGAACAACAAAAGCAACAGGAGGTTAAACTGAGACATTATAAAGTGCTCCTGCCTTGGTAGAACCCTTGGCATCCAGACAAAATCTTCCCTGCAGGACTATATTGAGCCTAGACAATCTTACACTCAGCCCAGTTCTCACAGAATTTCTACTGATGGATTCAAAATGGGCATGAACTTGCCAAGAAAGATAACAAAATCTATGAGGAAACAAGACACAATGACTAAGAGTCAGTAGAAACAATAAAAGACAAAATCAGATTGTAGAAACTTTATGTATTGGAATGTTCAGATGTAGAATATAAATACATGTGATTAGTTATGTATAAGCATATATGTTTATATACATAAAGTAAGCATGCTTAATATGTTTAGGAAATAATAGAGGGAGTTGAAAATATGAGCAAAGTGTAAGAAGCTATTTTGAAAGATATATTTGGAAAAAGAACTACATAGAATTTATAGAAATGAAAAATATCGTTGCAATTAAAAACTCTGTGGACTGGTTTACAATAGATTAGATCAGCTCAAGAGAAAATTAGTAATCACAGATAGCTCTGAATAAATGCCTGGAGTACAGCAAAATAGGTAAAGAAATAGAAAATATGAAAGATATGGAGGAAAGAGTAAGAAAGTCTAATATACTTCTAATCAGATTTCCATAAAAAGATGGTAGAGAGAATGGGAAAGAGGCAATATTTAAAAATATAATGGCTGAGAATTTTCCAGACTTGATTAAAGATACAAATCCTCAGTTTCAGGAAGAACAACTGACCTCAGATAAGATAAAAAAAGAATAAAATCTCATGTAGCATTTCACCATGAATACAAAAGGCAAAAAGCTGACATTAAAAGTAGCTAAATAGAAAAGATAGATTATTTACAAAGGAACAAGTAAGTAGACTAAAGCTAACTTCTAAAGCAATGATAGAAGCCTAAGACAGTAAAATAATCCAGCTTTGAGGGAAAATTAACTATCAATTTAGAATTGTATATTTAGCATAACTATCCTATATAATAAAAGCCTAATATGCTAAGTGTCCCACCGTTCATTCAACTGTTCAACCAGTCACTCTGATGCACACTGATGTGCTCTGACCAGTAGATTAGCTTGCTGCTGGGGTCTGGCCAATCGGGACTGGGCAGGATGGGCCAGACACACCCTGGAGCCCTCCCGCGGTCCCTTCCAGCCCCCATAATGCACCGGTGGAGTTCCTCAGCCTGGCCTATACCTTCTCGCAATCCAGGACCCCTTGGGGGATGTTGGAGAGCCAGTTTCTGTCCAATCCCCACAGGCCAGGCTGAGGGACCCCATTGGTGCACGAATCCATGCACTGGGCCTCTAGTCTTTCAGTAACAGGGCTCAAAAACACTTTCAGACAAACAAAAAATGGCAGAATTTTATCATCAACAGACCAAAACTAGAGAAAATCTTAAAGGTTGTACTTCAGGTAAAAGGGAGAAAATGACTATTATAAAATACAATAGAACGTTGAAAAAAGAAAATATATAAGTATTCTTTTAAAAAGTGGATTGTATAAATTAATAATAATGTCTAATTAGTGGAGATTAACAAAAATATTTTTTCTGAAATACTGGAATTTTTTTTAAATGAGAGGAGGATAAATATATTGATTAGAGAAGTATAAAGGAAAATGTATCTGGCAGATATTAACCAAAAGAAACCTAATATAGTTATATTAATATCAGACAGAATAGAATTTAAGGGAAAAAAGATCATTAGAGATATATAAAGATTATTATGCATAATGGTAAGAAGTTTGATTCACACACATGTATAGACACTAGACAGAGATATACAATTGTAAACTTATATGTATCTAATAACATGGGTTAAAATATAAAAAGAAAAATTGATATACCAATATAGAAAAATTGATTAATACATTCTAATAGGAAGATTTTAATACAACTCTCAGTAATATATAAAAAGGACCAAAAACAATTAGTGAGGACCAAGGATTCAAAACTTGATCTAATGGATATATGTAGAACTTTGCATCCAACAATTACAGAAAACACATTTTTTCCAAGAACATGTAGAAAACTATATTTGCAAGTTCATAAAGGAAGTTGCAACATATCTCAACTGCTATCATTTAACTCACACACACTGATCACAATGTAATTAAGTAAAATATCAATAGTATATGTAAAAGCATTTATTTGAAAGTAAAACAAATAATTTATAGGTGAGGAAGATATCAAAATGGAAATTCAAAAATAAATGTAAAAATATCAAAAATTGTAGGATGCAGCTAAAATGATACTTAGAGTGAAATGACCTTAACTTATTAAACTAAAAAAGAAGGAAGGTTAAGATCTAAATAAATGGAAAGACATCCCATGTTCGTGGATTAGAAGACTTAATATTAAGATGACAGTACTACCCAAAGTGATATACTAACTCAACCAGTCAGCATATCAGATATACGGAAACAACCCAGTTAAAAAATAGGCTAAAGACTCGAATAAACATTTCTCCAAAGGAGATATTCAAATGGCTGGTGAGCACATTAAAAGAAAAAGGAACCCCCATGCACTGCTGGTGGGAATGCAGACTGGTGCAGCCACTGTGGAGAACAGTATGGAGTTTCCTCAAAAAACTAAAAATGGAACTCCCATTTGACCCAATGATTCCACTTCTAGGAATATATCCCAAGAAACCAGAAACGCCCATCAGAAAGGATATATGCACCCCTATGTTCATAGCAGCACAATTCACCATAGCTAAGATTTGGAAACAGCCTAAGTGCCCATCAGCAGATGAGTGGATTAAAAAACTATGATACATCTACACCAGGGGTCCTCAAACTAC